TGGAGTGGACTGAAATTTGTGCTTAGTTCATGCCATCTTCACCTTTTCATCATCCTTTGGAGAAAGTGAATGGTGAAGAGAAAAATTTGGAGAGGGAGATGGTGGAGGAAGTAAAAGGGAAAAGGAAATTACAAAGTGAGGAAGAAAAGCACAAGAGTCAGAGTTGGAAGAGTAGAAAGATAATAATAAAAATGAGAAATGAAATAGGTTAGGTAGAGAAAAATAAGGAAAAGCAGAGGATGAGGAATAGGCTTAGGTTATCAGGTATTATGAGGGAAGATGTAAAAGAAAATTATAAAAACAAAAAAATATACAAACTTCCTCTTTTGGAGAGACATGGAATCAACCTCAATCTCTGTCCCCACTTCCCCTCAGGAACGAGACCTTGGTGATGAGTATGGCTGGAAACAGGTCCATGGAGATGTCTTCCGCCCCCCATCGCACCCCATGCTCTTCTCAGCGCTTGTGGGCTCGGGCTACCAGATGCTTACCGTCACCTTCCTCGTCATCCTCCTTGCCATTGTTGGTGAACTGTATACAGAGTGAGTATGCATTGCCCTTGGGCTTTTGTGAGGATCCTCACTGGCCAGGATGTTTCTACATATGTAGTTGTCTAACTCGGGAAGTTTGAAATGATTATAAAGTAATGGATATGTAGAATAACAAATGCCCTTCCCATTAAATTAGTTGAAAAATTTCCCTCTGTAGTTGTAGCAAAAATGTGAAGGTTGAATTATTGTACCCTCTCAGTAGTTCATCTGATTTCAAGAAATGCATTGGAGGCAGTTGTCAGACCATTTGCTATTTTAAGTATATAGATATTAGATTAAGAATAAAACATTACAATATATAATATCAGAAAGCAATTCTAGCATTATTTATTGTAATGTTTTATTCTATCCTTTCCTTCCCAAGGATAGTGGGATATGAGAGCAATGTTGTCTCTGTGTTGATTGAGCTTACTGAGAATGTAAGGTCTTGTTAGGGTGTAATTTGTTTGCTGTATAAATGATAATGTAAATGACCAAGAGTTATTACTAATATGGGTAACTGAAGAGGTAGGTATACCTGTATAAATATTTTATGTTAGGCCAACATATTTATACCAAAATAATTACTTTACACTACTTTGTTCACATATATTAATGTTCCCATCTTCCTATCAAAAATCAGACGAGGATCTATGGTCAGCATTGCCATCTTCATCTATGCTGCCACATCACCTGTAAACGGTTACTTTGGAGGCTCATTATATGCGCGAATGGGAGGTGAGTGCTCTGTCTTTGGTCTATTGGTTTAGAAAAAGGAATGGAAATGTTTTTTGGGAACAGTGGAATGCCTCCTCTGTTCCATTTTTTTCATTCCCATTCTTTTTTACCCTTTCTCCTGTCTTCCCTCTTAAGTGGACATCAGGATTTACAGTGAATCCTGTCTCATCCCTAGGGGAAAAGACAGGAATCATTAAGCTTTACTAGAACTTTCCCATGACCTATAAGCCCTCCAAGTCAAGAGGTCACCCAAGAGCATTTTAGTAACTAGCACACTTACAGGATTGGACATAGGAAACTCTAGCTTACTGTTGTGAAGCATTTTTACTGTGATGCCTATGAGGGCTGTGTTCTGTGTTCTGGATGATGTTACGGTCCTGTCCTGGAGAGATCTGGGTAGACGGCTGGGTGATGTTAACGTGGCATCGAACAAAATGACTGTGGGCCGGATAATGTGAACTTGCTGTCATGAGCGAAGGCTAGGGTGACAAAGACTCACCATGAGTGCACAAACCTCTTCATTTGGCACTTGGAAGGGGGCTTTAGCATTATTCCCATTGATAAATGAATGTGGAATGTAAGGTGCGTAAGACATGGAAAAGCACTGGCTCCAGGGAGGACACCATTTCCATGCTGCGCATCGTATTCCTGGCTGCTGTGACTGGCGGAGCAGGTTTTATTACGGAAAATTGAAAATTATGAGAAAATAAGATATATGACACAAATAATTTTTTTTTTTTCTTGCGCTGAGTTATTTACATAGAGAGATGATATGGAGCTTATGCAGGAAAAATAATCTATTAATGGCAAAAAAAAAAAAAAAAAAAAAAAAAAGTTTATACATACTAGATTTGTAAAAGCGAAGCTCAGAGTTTTGTTATTATTCATGAGTGTTGGCCCACTCCCACACCCAGCATATGCGCCGCATGCCCGAGATGTTGGCCACTTATGCAACCCACTGCCCATATTTTGGGCACTGTAATTTGTGTGAGGCAACCGGATCCAACAGGTTAAGCTCTTAACCTTCTCATCTTGATATAAAATTCCGTGTAGTAAACTAGATCTATAGACAGAAACAGGCTCATGTAATGCCTCTCAGCTTATTGGCCAGCTCTCTGCAGTAATTATTATAGGCCTAGCCAGAGCAGTGAGTACATAGAAAATGGGAATGAAATGCTCTCCCTGGGTGCAGATCAAAGCTGGACAGCTAGGTTTGGCTACTTGATGTGCAG